AGTCACCTTCGTGCACGAAAGTTCGTTCAATCTCAGCTGTTCGTCAGTTATTAGTGAGTCAGTTATGTCAGTTATTTGCTGTTGTATCGCCGATTTTCAATCGTTAGTATTAAATTCATGGTAACGAAATAAAATGACAAAGATACAAAAATGTATCAAATAAATCTGCTCACCTGCAATTTATAATGGCGCATTGTCGTCACCTTCGTGCATGAAAGTTCGTTCAATCTCAGCTGCTCAACATTTTCAGTTATTTGCTGTTGTATCGCCGATTTTCAAAATGCAAATGATCTGTTTATTTTCAAAGAATAGTTTGTTTTGTTATTGTGTTGTTGGTGTCTTATATGAAACTGCGACATTGCGTAATTTATTGGACATATTGGGTGGCATTTTATTTCATATTTTTAAATCATCTTTTTACTTTTGACAATATCTGTAAATGTAGTTTCCTGCTCTTAATTGTGAATGCATACTTGATGGTTTTAAATGCTCCTGAAATTAAGTGCTGCTTGACGAGCCTATATTGTGTATGTATGTGACGTCACTGAAGGCCTAAAGTTGAAATGCACGGCCCGCCACTGCCTTTGAACAATGTGAAAACATATATCAAGTAGAGAAAAGATGGCACAACGTGGACACTATCAAGAACTTAACTTCCCTCCAAGATTGATAAGACTGAAAGAATGAAGGCTCCCTGGAGCCCAACAGCAATATTTTAATATTATTAATAGGCAGAAGATTTCCCGTTATATTCTTGTGATTGCTGATCTGCTGTTGTGGAACCGGAAACTCAAAGAGTTTTCTATTTCAGAGTAGATCAACTCAGAGTTCAGCATTAGACAGTTTGTTGAACACTCTTTGTGAAACGGACACCTGGTCATTTGTCTTCGAGTTTCCCTGCTAACCACTGTGCCGCCTTGCTCTGATTTAGTTATTTTGAATTATGAGTCAAAAGTTCTGTAAAGAGGATTTATGTGAAAATGTCAGCTATTTTTTTAGGTGAAAAGAAGATTTGATCATTTCAGGCAAACAAGAGAGAAGGCAAGAACGACGCTCGAAAGTAAATTTTGTTACAAATGATTATTTAATATTGAAAGCGAAAAGTGCAATTGGTGCAGAGTACACAATTTAAAACAAATACATGCAAACCGTAGTGTGTAGAGTGGAAAACGCATGTCCAGTCCATCAATAAAACTTTTTCCCAGTCAGCATCTAAAAGCATGCGCTTCGGATGGACTGAAACCTCAGATTCTGACCACTGACCAATACTGTGCTATACCCCCAGTGTGTCATGCGGACACTGCTCCAGCAAATGCTTGGAGCATCAAGTCCTTCAGCTGAGCTGAATGTTTTGCACATACTTGTGCAACCAGGTTGTGTCAGTCGTTTTTTATTGAATTTTTTTACTTAGCATCTCAATTTATTTATTTATTTATTTTTTTGGTCAAACATTTGGCAGTGATTTATGTTGGTCTCAGTTTTATTTCACAAACCCCTCACATTTGAACAGCAAAGTGGAGACTTTTTTTCAAGTAGTATCGTATAGTAAGTCGTACATACAGTATGATTTTCATAGTTCAAACGTCACATTAACATGGACATTGTTTTCTTGTGCTGATTCCCATGTTGGTGGCACGTCGGCCGACGGATTTGCATATCCGCCTGACAGTACAGAGATCCAGCGTTTGATTCCAGACCCCGGACTGCGTGTGTGTGCTGTTTGGATGTTCTCCTGCTCCGGTTTTCTCCCACATTCCCAAAACATGCATGGTAGGTTGACTGAACGCTCTCGGTGTAATTGTGAGTGTAAATGGTTGTTTGTCCATTTATCTGCCCTGTAATTGGCTGGCAACCATTTCAAAGTGTAACCTGCCTACTGCCCGAAGGCTGCTAGCATCGGCCCGCAACTCTCATAAGGATTAGATGATCAGATAATGGATGGAGGGATGAATTCCCATGTGTCTAAATTCTATTCATGCTTTAAAAAGATGTGCTGATGCCACACATATCACAAAGGTAAGTCAATGCAAAAGTTGTACGAAACAAAATGTAATGTTTCTAACCACTCGCAGTTCCCACATTCTGGCACTGCTTGCTACTGACGTGGGGATTTATTATTGTTGATGTTTAACTTGCACATCTCTTTAATACATCTCTAAAAGGCAAACAGACTTATTGGCTTGCATTTGTGGGATTTAGTTGCTTTCCCGGACCGCTGCAGACCACAGAGTCTCCTGGTTCAAAGAACAGTAAGAAACAAGTTTGAGGAGGGACAGTCCAAATATTTAAGAACTCTCGGGCTGAGGGATCAATAGGTGCGGTGTGGACACCACGTCCATCTGAGGTGGGTTCAGATCAGCAGGCAGGGGAGTCGCATTTGGGTTTGTCACACCAACTGGTTGAAGGGGCATCTGTTCTGTTGACTTCATTTTCCCCCGTGGAACTTTGGAACAGGTATGAAGGTGAGTCAGCAGGCCACGGTACGATCGTAACTTTGTGCGGCAATTTTCACACCTATGATCAAAGCAATAAATATATCACAGTAATTACTTCATACATATACAAAACAAAACGGTGTGCACACAACAGGAAACCTACAAGTACTTTCAAAATAAATGTGGTCCAAGATACCTGTTTTAGTCCCGAAAGAAAAATAAAATTTTCACTCGGGGCTGCACAATATATGGAAAAAAAAATATTGTTGGCACGATATTGGCCCATGCATATCGCAAAGACGTGCAATAAGTTTCATATGGAATGGTATGTGTTTATTGGAATTTGACCAGTCAGATGCAACCTTAAATAGGTGAACAGTATCTTGGAGCATTACAATGAATAAGCTAAGAAGACATTGAGTATGCTTATTTTGACGCATGAAAAAAAAAAAAAAAAAGTATTTTTAAAGTATTTTGTTCATTTCTTTGAGTACACAGTAAAGATCGCAATAAAATCAATATTGCTGTATTCAACACTCATATCGCGTATAGCATGTTTTTACTAATATTGGGCAGCCATAATTTTCACTCTGCCATCCAAATATGGTGAAGCACACATCAGAATGACCGTGCACGCGCAGGCAAGCGGCATTGCAAAACAGTGATGTTTCCAGGTGAACTGTTGCAACTTTTACACTTAGCCCGCTTTAATTCTTGCTGGCCAGAAAGGATGTATTCAGGACAAGGAGTGGAGAATGGAATTTTCCAAAAAGATAAACTTACAAGAAATATATGTTGGGTTTATGGTGACGTCTCACATGTTCCATCAATTTCTGCATGTTTGGGAAGGAGCAGCTGCAGCCAACAGTCGAGCAGTTAAAGGATTTTCCTGCAGAGGTAAAACAACTAATATGTATGAGTGCGTCAAAAACAAAAATAATTGGAACAAATTGGATGAAACCAAATCAAATATTGAAGAATATGGATGCAATGAAAACGTGTATGAAACATACAAGACTTCTATTTCGCTCTGAAAATATTTCATATAAACAAATATCAAATAATGAGTTGTTTTACATGTGATTCCAAGCGTAAAATCTAATTACCAAATGAGAAATGGACGCCCCCATTCCCCAATTGTGTAGAATTACACTGAACTGAGAACTCAAAAGAAACTTATTTGTAATACTGTAAAGAAACATGGTACTTTCAAATACAAGTAACTCGTAATATATATTACATTTTGAGTGCACCTTGCTAAACACTGGTGATGAGTACATTTACACAAACACTTGCAGATGAACCCTATACGCCACCACTTTTTTTATGATTTTACTTTTGCAAATTATACATATGTACTGCAAATAATAATTGGAGAATTCATATTTGCATTTAAAGGTCGTGCAACCGTCGTCCTAACGGTTGATTTAAGCGCATATGTTCATAAAGCAGATAATATAAGAATTTAACGTTTGGTCCTCACGACTCATGTTGGAATCGCTTACCAGGAAGAGATTCAGATGGGATTGCGTGGTCCCTCATATGACTCTCCAAAGCACTCACGTCCGTATACACGCGTTTACAGCCGTGAAATGGACACGGTGCATTTTGATTTCCTGTGTGAGAGATATAGAATTAAGAATGAGTAAACTAGCTACGAAAAAACTATGTGACGACGTAACCATTAAGCTACTGAGCATAATACTGTATCGAAGTCACTGTAACTCTAAACCTGACTGACTGAAAGGCTTCGTCAAACAAACAGACAGAAAAAATTACCTTCGATTCCATTTCCTTCAAATGTCTGCAGAGTCGTGCTACAAGACGACATTGTTGTTTTAATGTACTCGCATTCTACCACAAAGGGAAAACAACGCAAACGACCCAAGGCGCATGCGTGAAATCTCATCTCCGATGACATGAGATGTAGTCGATGCATTACTGCCACCTTTCGAATTAGAAAGTATACTTCAACAAAACTTTTTTTTTTTAAACTTGAATTTACTTTTATGAAAATCGATTAGGCTGCTCTTATGTTAAAAAAAAGCTTTGAAAAATTTTAAAGTAGTAGTTTTGAGGAGTAGGTATGAGAAGCACCCAATTAGCACGAGCCAGAATGTTTTCTGGTTTAACACAGGGTTTCTAGTTTAAGATAAGATAAAATTAGAAACCCTTTATTTGTCTCACAATTAAGAAATTCGCAAATTACATTTGGAGGGAAGAAAGTAGAAAAAACATGAAGTATTTGCATGTACATTTTTTTAATGAACTGTACACAGTACACAATTGCAATAGAAAATATCAGATATAAGCATATATGCAACTGCATACATGCTGCATAAGGTGACTGTGCTATTTACAATGGGTGACTGGGGGGTGAGTCCAGGTTTTCACGTGTGTTGATTCAGCAGCTGGACAGCAGTCGGCAGGAACGAGCGGTGGTACCTCTCCCTCTTGCAGCGCGGGTGTCACAATCTCTGGCTGAAGGAGCTGCACATTGCTATCAGGGTGGCCTGGAGACTGCGCAGTTGGAGACTGCGGTAAAGCCAGCCTCCACTCGCAAAATTTAAGTCAAGTGAGCCGCCATTGCGAGTGGAGGCTGGCTTGACCGCAGTGCCTGACCCACTGCCTGGAGGGGTGGGAGGGTCTGTCCATCATAGCTGTTAGCTTAGCTAGCATACTCCTGTTGCCCTCAATTTATAAGAAAAAATGTCCGTGGATAACTTAAAAACAAATGAGAAAAAAATCAGATATCGATCTCGTGTTTAGTGGTTCAGAAACTGTTTTGAAACCTGCTCCGTCAAAAAAAAAAAAAAAAAATGGTGACCAACCGGCCACTTAACCATAACCATTTGATTGGCACAGGACGTGTCAACCACGCTGCCATCTTGGACCGGGAAATCTCCGTCCATCGTGGGCTCTTCGAAATCTCGATTTTGTCTTTTCCTATCCTATCCGAGAGATATGACCCAGAAGTACTTGGAGGATATCTCGTTTGAATAGACTATTCAATCATCAATAGAAGACCTGTGACCCCTGCACTAGGAATCGCGCATGCGCAGAAGGTCGGCCAGTGTTCACTAACTTCGGCAAGGACCGTGGACAAAATAAATTTTAGCGTCGTTTAACTAGTGAGCAAAATGGGCGATTTTGTGCGCATGCGCGACTCACTACGTGCATTTAAAAATATTTTTTTGATGGCAAAAAAAACAAGTAGAGAACAGTACATTTTGTTCATGAAATTAACATAATCGAAACATGAAATACCAGTATACTCGTGTACATCATTTCATAACAATATAAAATAACAACAACAATGCCAGGGGTTTCATATCCTTTTAAATAAATTGAAAGTTTTACAACTTTTTATAATTTTCAGAGCCTTTTTGTAATTGACAGTAAATGTTTAAGACACCAATAGTATCACTGTGAAAGTGTGAAAACTAAGGTAGGCCATACTTGCATTTATAAATAAAACATTTAGAGTAACCTAAGATATAGCTTTGCTTTGGTGCTGGAGCCTATCCCGGTGACCTTTGGGCAGGAGGCGGGGTACACCCTGCACTGGATGTCAGCCAATCGCAAGGCGCACATAGACCAGTGCTTCTCAAATACTGCCCCCCCCCCCCAGGGGGGTGCGAGGCTCCGTCAAGGGGAGCGCGTTTGACCTCAGGGAACATGTTTTTTTTATTTTTTTATTTTGATTTTTATACTGACCTTTAATAAAGTGCAGTTTTACCTCCACTACATTAGGGGGCAGTGGCGCTCTCATTGGCAGAGTTTTGCGCAGGGAGCATTCGAAGGGAAGAAATATGACGAAGCGTAAGTCGCACTTGGCTTCACTGTGACCAAGGTCGGAGACGAGTAGAGATCGTTGTGCTTTCTGTGTCTAAAAATGTTGACAGCGGACAGCATAAAGCCAAATAAATTAAGGCGTCACTTAAAGACATTACACCCCAATCACGCTGATAAGCCTCTTGCGATTTTTCAGCGAAAACGTGCCGAATATTGCCAACAATCATCCCGCTTTGTGACTGCTACTTCAGTAAACTACAATACAGGTCCCAGCTACACATTGAGCAAGACCCGAGAGTTGCTGTGTTCTGCTTCAAACCTTGCTTCGAAAAGCTGTGCATTGCAAAACGTGGTCATTGTAGCCATTGATCCAGACATAATCTTTGATTAAAAAAAATCAGCACAAATCATTTTATATATTTTTGTTTTGCAGGTTAAAATGTTTTTAAGATTGTGCTCCTGTAGATCTGTTTATTATTGTTTTGTTGTACAGCCATTTTAACCTGCTGTCATACCTCCCGTCCAGAAGGTGTCGTAAGAGTTCTATTGTTGATTGCTACACGAGTAAGCCTGTAACACGTTCTTGGTGCTGCTGGAGTAAAACTATTTTCAAGCACATAAACGGACTGGTTTCTTCATATCAAAACTACATGGTGTCAGAAGTGGGATCCTTCAAAAAAGTCTGCAGGGTCCACGAAGACAGTCTGTGTTGGTGGTGAGCAAAAAGGACGAGATTTTACCTCCGTGAAAAGGCAGTAATGGCGGACGGATTTCGGCGGCCTGATCCTCTCATCTTCGATGGCAATGTCGCTGAGAACTGGCGTAAGTTCGAGCAAGAATATGATATATTCATAGCCGCAGCACACAGTGACAAAAATGCCAAAACAAAGGCCTACATACTCCTCAGTCTGGCGGGACTGGAGGCCATTGAAAGAGAGAGATCGTTCACATATTGCAGTTGTGTCAGACCAAGGCGTGGAAATAACCGCAGCGGAGTCACGGGAAGATCCGACATGTTTGAAAAGGAAGTTCAAAGAAATATGCAACCCAGAAACAAATATAATAATGGAGAGGCACAGTTTCAACGTGAGACAACAAAAGCCAGGGGAAACGATTGAAGCTTATGTGAGTACATTACGCAACATGGCAAAAACGTGCAATTTTGGAGCATTACAAGATGAGCTAATCCGAGACCGATTAGTGTGTGGAATCAACAGTGATAGCATCAGACGTTCACTTCTTAAAGAAACTGAGCTGACACTTGCCAAAGCAGTGCGCATTTGTCAAATAAACGAGCTCACTGACCAACATAGCAAAGTGCTAGCTGCTCCAAAACACGTGGCATCAACAAGTGTGGACACTGTACAAATGAAGCACAGCCACACATTTAAAAAGACTCACAACTACAAAAAGAAACAAGACAAAATGGTGACAGAAATCTCAAATTGCAGAAATTGTGGTGGTTCACACGCAGCCAAACGTGACCAGTGCCCAGCTTTCGGACAACAATGCCACCCATACAAGAAGCCAAATCACTTCAAGAGCCAGTGCAGGTACGCTAAAGCACATGCAAGAGGCAAACAAGTCAATCAAATATCAAGGATGATTCAGAAAGTGATGAAACATTCACTATCGAGCACCTAACACTGGAGGGTGAAAATAGTCACAAAAAAGAAGGCTATTGTTCAGTTGCAGTTGGAGACAAGATTCTAAAACTCAAAGTGGACACCGGTGCGAAGTGTAACGTGATTTCTCTGAACACCTGCAAGGACATGTTTCAGCGTGAGAAAATACAGCCACAAGACAAGCAGATCAATCTAATCGCTTTTGGAGGAACAAAGATCAAGTCTGCAGGCACAATCACTCTCAAATGCAAATTAGGAGAAAAGAGCCATGACCTAATTTTCCAAGTTGTGAAACAAAATGTGCAGTCTATCGTGGGACTCAAGGACAGTGTGAATATGAAACTAGTTAGTTTCAGCAAAGAAGTTTTTCACATTGATGCAATTCCAAATGAAAGCTTTGAGGAGAAAGTATTTAAAGAGTACAAAGATCTATTCAAAGATGAGCTTGGAGAATTACCAGTGACTTATTCGATGAAGCTTGCACCTGATGCTGTTCCAGTTGTCAACTCCCCACGACGTGTTCCAGTGCCAATGCAACAAAAGGTGAAAAGTGAACTCCAAAGAATGCAAAAGCTTGGTGTGATTGAACCAGTTGACGAACCTACTGAATGGGTGTCGAACATGGTAGCCACTCATAAGAAAGAGGTTGACGATGTGCGTCTTTGCATCGACCCGAGGGATTTAAACAAGTCGTTAATGAGACCACACCATCCCATGCGTACAGTTGAAGAGGTTGCAGCACAAATGCCTGAGGCAACCGTATTTTCTGTCCTGGACGCGAAGAGTT